GTTAGTTAGTTAGTTAGTTAGTTAGTTAGTTAGTTAGTTAGTTAGTTTCAGAATTGCTACAATAGTTAAAAGCAAGGATTTAATGCTAAACCTCACTAGAGATCCCGTCCAAAAATCTTCCTATACTGAATGAGAATAAACAATAATAAAATAATCACGGATGATAATTATATAGACTCAAACGTCACAAAAACATCATTTCCCATGTATCGCTTGTGTGTGCTACGTCATCATTAAGCGCTGTAGTTTTGTTTTGCTTCCGCAGCGCACATGATACAAACCAACGTGGCTTTTGCATTTTACTAGACAGTTCTGCTTTAACTACATTTAATTTCTAACTGCACGCTCAGTAATACATTTCGATTATTTATATATACATTTCTATACACATCGTCATCAGCAACTTAATCAGTTTTACTAGTGAGTTGATTCTTTTCCTCCATACAGTTTGACGCGGTTTGGATGTGAAGTTTCAGAGCTGGCCAGCTGACAGAAAAGAGGCAATTCCAGCGGGGTAGTTTGTGATTTATTCTTTCTTTATTTACAGCTCTCACGGAAACATGTTTAACGAGGACGAAGACTGGAATGATGCACACGAAGTCCTGGAGAAATCCGGACCCGAAAACACACCAAAGGCGAAGAGCAGCCCAAACGTGAAGGTAGATGCACTGTACAAATGTCCCCTTTCTCCTAAATGTCTCATTAGAACTACAAAGTAAAACGCTCCAACGTTTTTATTGGTGTTTTTCTTTTATATCCATATCAGCATTAGTGCACATCAACCTGTTGACTGACTGACTGACTCTGATTTCTGTGGTTTCTGTTCTCCTCCTTAGTCCAAAGTTGTGGGGAAAAAGAGCTTGCTGCGCACCCTGCAGACTCTGGGATCTGTGCCGGACTGGGAGAGCAACAGCCGTCAGCAGGACAGCGACAGTGAGGCCGAAACCGCTCCAGCCCACAAGAAGAGGAAGAAGAGACGGAAGAGGAGGAAACAGGCAGAGAAATCCGAGGAGCAGGAAGAAAATGTGGACAGTGGTGTCAAAGAGGATGCTGCAGGGCCAAAAAAGAAGAAAAGAGGAAACAAATTAGGTGAGTGCTCAATATATTACATATTCACTGTAGGTTTCATGTAACAACTGGCAGAAGGATTATGAGAATGCCTGAGCCCTTTTCAGTCAAAAAGGGCAGTTTGTATTGTTTCTTTTCTTTTGCTGCTTTGAACTGTATATACATGTCTGAAATAAACTAAACCAAAGTGAAGAAAAGAATGGGAACAAAACTCAGAATATCCATACAATGTATAGATAACTGTTGTTTTTAGGTGTTGATTTTTCAAATATTTTAAGTCCTACTTAACACTAATGAATGGTTACCATAAACTTTCTTGTCAGAAAGTCTAAAAATTATTTGTTTTTGCTTTTACTTAAAGGTGTTCCCAACTCAAATGGCATCGATGCTGGAAAGAAAAAGAATGAAGAAAACCCAGCATCTGAACAAGTTGATGCAGAAATACCAGCGAACACAGATAAAATTAGCAGAAAGCAGTGGAAAAACAAGATGAAGAACAAGAGGAAAAGTAAGAATAAATACCGCCAGAGTGAAGCTGTGGAGGATGTAGTTAAAGAAAAGGATGACAAACAAGAGTCAAAGGCAGAAGTCAAACCAGAGTCCCAAAGCAAGAATAACAGTGAAAGCATCAGTCAGAGAGCGCTTCAGAAAAAGAAAATGGAAAGACAGTGTAATCCACCGAAAAGGAAACACGCCGAAGAGGAGGCCCCGGTACCAGAGGCCCGGCAGCAGAAAGCAGAGAAACCCCAAAAGAGCGTCAAAGCTGGAAAAAGAGAGCACGAGCCTCCTGCTGAACGGTCAGAACAGAAACCGGCTCAGCTGCAGCAGGAACTCCCCGACAATCAGCCCCAGCTCCCGCCGAAAAGGTTTGAGCTGAGCCGGGAGCAGAGCCTGAAAAGGCAGAAGATGCAGAGGATGCTGCTCAGGCGGGAGGAGAGTCCCCCGGAGCCTCCCCCGGGGGGGGAGGAGCAAGACCCGGCGCCTGCGGGGGGGGAGGGGGAGGAGCCAGCGGCGGCGCCCAGCCGCTCGGACGCCCTCCGCTCCCGCATGGAGCAGCGGCTGGAGGCGGCCCGCTTCCGCTACATCAACGAGCTCCTGTACAGCACGTCCAGCGGGGAGGCGCGGCGCATGTTCCAGCAGGACCCCCAGGCCTTCTGGGTCTACCACAAAGGCTACACGGCCCAGGTCCAGCGCTGGCCCGCCAACCCGGTGGACGCCATCATCTCCTTCATCCACAAAAAGTGAGAGACCTTTCACTGCCTCTTCACTCATTGACTGCCAGAGTTTTTTTTTTTAGCATTTTGACTGATTTTTCAAGAGCCACAGAATAGTTTGTGCTATGACTATGTAAACACCGAACACACCAAAAGAAAGAGTAGACTCTCTTCTTTCATCAGGAAAAAAAAGATTGTTTCTACCTTATTCCGGTCTTCCTGGACTTGCGTCTCACCGGTGACATGTTCTCTGATAGCGAACCGTTACGTTTTTCTTATTTGCCTACAGTCTATGCTCATCTCCCATCAAAAGTGACACTGCCCCCTAGAGGGTCAATTTGTTACTACATACTCTGTCTAGAAGCCTGATATTTACGGACAAGCTTTAGCGGATCGTCCCCCCACCCACTCTCGTTGAAAAACATAAAAGACGTCTATAGATGTCTTTGGCAGCCAATGAGTTAACTTTCACTGGATGGAAGCCATCCCATGAAAGCCCCATCTGGGGGAGGGTGTCTCTTCATTTAGCTTCTGTGAGCAGAGGCTAGCATCAGGAGCCGTTTGTTGCTCTGCGAGGTTAAAATCAACTAAAGATTCCATTTTTTTTTGCATCCTTTCCTGCAGACCTCCCTCCCTGGTGGTGGCCGACTTTGGCTGTGGCGACTGTAAAATAGCCCGCAGCGTGAAGAACAAAGTGCACAGCTTCGACCTGGCGTCCACCTGCGAGCTGGTCACCGTGTGCGACATGGCCAGCGTGAGTGTCTCTCCGCTTGACCCCCGGCCCGCGCCGCCGGTCAGCAAACGGCTGAGTCGTTTTTTTTTTCCCGTGCAGGTTCCCCTCGGCGACCGCTCCGTGGACATCGCCGTGTTCTGCCTGTCTCTCATGGGGACCAACCTGGTCGATTTCTTAACCGAGGCCAACCGAGTCTTAAAAACGGGGTGAGTAGAACAACAGGGATACTTCTACGAGTGGCGTCGGGTGGGTTTCAACAGGTTCTGCCCAATTTGCGCAGGGGATTCCTGAAAATCGCAGAAGTGGCGAGTCGGTTTGAAAACGATCGGAACTTCGTCTCCTCGCTGGCGAGCCTCGGATTCAAGCTGGTGTCCAAGGTTAGGCACCGGGGGCCATGTTCGCTGATTTGAAATATTAACAGTGTTTGTGCATGCATTGTCACAGCTGCTCGAAACTAGCTCAGACTCCGTAATGAGCAGGGCCCAGTTTTGGGGAGCCACATAGTCATTTATATTTCACACTTTAGTCCCCGAATCCCAGAGAAGTGGCCCTACACGCACAGAGGCTTTGACTGGGAACACATCATTTCTTTTTCATTTTTCGAGGTCTCCCGGCTCAGTCAGAGCTGGAAGGTGGCAGCTGGGTGTTTTATAATTCATAGCTCTTTTCTCCCACATTCAGTGAGCTGCTTTAATGCTGGCAGAGGTGTTTGAGTCAGCCTGTGATCATAACTCAGCTTGTTTTTTCTTCCTTTTAGGATACGGAAAACAGCCATTTTTACTCCTTTGATTTTGTGAAGACAGGAAATGCTCCGAAAAACGTAAAGAAATACGGACTGCAATTGAAGCCCTGCCTGTACAAGAAAAGATGATGTCATCGTTGGGCTTGATCAGTGCACGCCCGAGTGAGAAATCTTTATATATCAGTATATAAATAGGTTTTGCCATTTGGGTTGATTCTTTTTTTTTCATTATCATTTTATATAAGATTTTCTTATATCAATAGCAACATGCTAATGAACATTAACAGTGTTTTGTGGAAGCAAAGAGTTATTTATAGCTCATTCTTTTCAGTCGTTTTTTTTTTTGCTCTGTTCATCAGTAGATTTCTGGATTTATTTAGGTAAATAAAGCAGAACATACATTTTAGCCTCTCGTTTACAAAATACATGAAGCCTGTTTACATGTTCATTTGCAGATTTCAAATGCTGATTTTTAAGTTAAGGATGAGAGATTTGTTCATAAAAATATTTTGATCAGTCAGGCACATCTTACATGCCACAGGTCCAACACGCCACATCCCAACAGTTAGGGTTATACAGAGCTCACGCCAGTTCAAACAGGAGAAAATCATTTAATGAAATGCTGAGGAAACTGAAAACTTAAATGTGAAGATGCGATTTTAGGTTATAAAAAAAGGTAAAATTCTACATTAAGGAGCAAAAATAATAGATGTTAAAGAGTGGCTTTCCTTAAAAACTTAGTTAAAGTTTATCACAAAGACCCTTAACATTTGAATCGAACATTTTCATTTTAAAATTGTACAAGCATTTTTTAGATTTTTACACAGAATCAGCAATTTTGACCAGGGTGCCCAAACCTTTTCCTGTAACTGCGAACGTTATTTTAACATTAAGGAATCAATTCTAAATAATTATGTGTATTGTTATTCTCTGATTAATGAGATCGTGTGTGATTAGTATTCATGTGTGCAGTTCGCTTAAACAGGCCCTCTTTTCTGTCCGGAGATTTGCATAAATGTGAATAAATCACTGTTGGTTTTATGGTTTCCATTTTACAAGACAAATAATGTAAATAGGTAACGGGAGAAAACACTGAAGAAGCTTTGAAGATAAAAACACTAAAATGAATATCTGGCGCATTTGTTGATTAGATTTAGCGCTCTGAGAGCTACAGTACTTTGAATTATGTGAGAAATTTGTTTTTAATTCCGCTTCGTTTTTAAGATAAAATATAAAATGCGTTAGAATGATATACCAAAGTTAGCCAAAGCATTAGAACTCTCACCTGATCTGGGTTTGGCGTGAACAGAGAACATCTGTGTTTGGAAACAGGACGATGGTAACAGATGCCTAAACACCCCCTGGGTGGTGTTTTTTTGTTAACTGGTTGCACAACATTTGAATAGTTGGTCATTCACAACCATCCATGCAAAAAGGTGGATGCAGATATCCTCAGGAGATGATTAGAACTGAGGCAGTTTAACAGTGTTAGTCTACATTTGAATGGTTTTAATGCGGTAATGCTGCATGTGTGGTCCTTCACCACAAGAGGGGGGGGCCGCGCTGCAGCTCAACACAGCTGAACCTCACAGTGGTACCTGTGCATCTGACAAAATGGAGAAATGCTGGGAAATGACCTTTGAATGGCTTTATTGAGAAATACCACCACAAAAAAAAATTATAATTGAAAACTCAACGTGTGGAAAACAAGATACAAAATTCAAGTAAGACTTAAAGGAGTGCAAACTTTATGCTTTTAACCGTTAATGCCCGTCCACCGAGAAGCTCAGTGCTCATCATTTGAAATGCTACATTCACACTAAAAAATACAGGGAAACTTACAGTAAAAAGAAAAATTCACAGCAATACAGTTCCACAAAGCCTTCAGAGCTAATTTGTGCGCAGCAGAAGATGGTTGTGAGATATGAACCTCTGCAAAGCCCCCATATCTTCAGACCGTACTCTTGATGTCGATGACTATGGAGTAGGTGACCAGCTCTTTGCTGTCGTCCGACGCTGCCGGTGGTTTCTTGACCTCAGGAGAGCCGGGCTCCTGCATCAGAGCCGCCAGGGCCGAGAGGGATTCCCGCTTCTGAGCTCAGCACAAAGACACAAACCGAACGGTGATGAACGAACCCCAAAGTATGAATATCCTCATCTTTGAATAGGCATGTAGGCCGAGTCATACCTTATACTGTTGTCTGCTGTTTCTTTTGCTGAAAGAAAAAAAAGATGAATGAATTCAAAATTTAAAGTCTTTTTTTTATGGAATTGTTGGTTTCCACCAGATGGCACTGTCATACAGTAATACACAGAATCAGCTCACATGGGCAAGTTGCAGGGGTGAATGCATTGCATGCGACAGGAATACATAAATGGATAGCATTAGCGACCCAAGTCCTCATCATTGATCTTGAGTAGCAGCTCACTTTGTATATTACGACCTCAGTGGCAGCAGCCCAGTGATGACCCGCTGCTGTCAGTGTCCTCTGCAGTGGTGGCCAGGGAGAGGGGGGGACTTAGCATAAGTCTCTAAATAGATCACCTCCTGGGGAGTCATGTTTTCTTGTTCACCGAGTGGCTGACCTTACCAAATAAGCCTAACAGGACCCTTCCAGTGAGGGACTGAATGATGAGATATAACATCCATCAATCAGTCAATGGCACTCTGACCAAATATTCTGGCCAGACTGGCAGACAAGTTCCAAACTGTTGGGAGTGCAGCTTTACACACAGCCCGGGCTGGAAATTTCTGCAGGCAAAAAGCATTAACAGCTGTAGGACTGTGACAGATGTCCCTCGCCAGTTGTAAAAGATCTGACCCACTGGCTTTTTCCGAGAGAAATGGCATCAAGAGAGTCGTGGAGATATTTTAGACTGATTAACAGCAGCTTGACTTCCATTATATTAATAACTTCCGATCATGTGCACTCCCTGATTCCTTTACCTTGGCTTTTTGCTATGTGGCATTGATGGTAATGGGCTAGCTTTCAGCAGTGTGGAGTGGAAATGGCCAAAAGTAACACTGTAAAAGCCAGAGCAGGAAACTGGAAAGTGTATTTGTTATTGACACTGATGAACATTTTATACCTGTCTACAGGCAGGGCTGCGGTGTAAGTGGCACCTGTCTGCTTCAGCCACAGAACTTCCTGTTTGTGAATAACTGTGCTGGAGGAGGAGGGGGGGGGGTTGGTGCATTGGTTTAACGATCCACACATCCTGTTTGTCTTATATTGTATTGCACTGGCAGCGCAAACCCTCAGCTCGCATCACCTTGCCTGCCTGAGACCAGTGGAACTCACCAGCATACGCAGAGGGTGACGATGAAGACGAGCAGGATGGCCACAGATGAAGAGACGCAGATCATCGTCACCAGCACTGCAACACGCACGAAAACAGATATCGTCAGAAATCTCAAATCACCGTCAGAGATTTCGAGTAAACAGGTCTCAGACTTACTGAGCTGCTCGTCTTCACTCATGACTTCCACCTGAATGTTGACGGTTGCCTTGTGGTGACAGAAAGAAGCCAAACAGGTGTACAGGCCTGTATTCTGCCCAGAAACCTCCGGCTGGAGGATCATTGCGTCCCCGTCCATTTGAACAATTAAGCCATCACTCCTAAAACACAAGTGACTTTAGACTTCATGTTCAACTTTTTTATTCATCAAAACCACCACCAGCCAGCCACTCTAGCTTTAAAAAGAGGAAACTAGACTCAGTTTGCATAACTTGCCAGACACCAGCAAACAGTAAAGATGCTTTTCTAACAATGACAAGCTGGACATGCTGTGCTGGATGGGGGGAGATTGAATTTCTTACTCTTCAATGTATTAACAGGAGGTTCCCAACAATGGTGAAGTATAACAGTCCCCAAAGTAGTTGAGATACATATACCTGCTGATCATGTTTTGTTTCAGGCAAATCAGTGTTCAGTTTTCATTGATATGAAATTACACAGGCTAAATCTTTTCCAATTTGAAATTCAAAGAAAGAGTGAATTCTGATTTTATAGCCACATGTTTTTTAAGATGTTTACAAGGGCACAACTGCTGCAGGAAATACTGAAGGAAGTCAGAATTTTGGCCATACTGACAGGTTTATTCTGAGTCAGTATATGTGTATAAAAACATATGACTGGAACTGTATGTTTCTGTGCGTGGTTGAAGGGTGGACATGTGTTTGTGGATGAAGTGACCCTGTCTGGTCTGTAATGCTTTTCCAACGTGTTCACAAGTCTATGCAACTAAACCGTCTGTTTTCAATGCAGAGCAACTGCAAGCCTGAAGATCAAGTAACATATCCAAAACTTAATGTTTCTTTATAGTTTCTGGTAAATGAAAGATTTAAATAGTTCCATTCTGTTTTGCTTTACATTTAGACAGTGGCCGATCTGTTTACGATACACCACCTGCGACAGTCGATGCTGTGGTCTGGCACATTGCCCTCAACTTTGAGGAGTATTTTCTGGCTGCGATGGTTCTCGTGGACAGAGAGTCTATGTATGACAGGCTGATCGTCAAAACGACTGTGCAGAGGAGTTGTCTGGTTCAGGACTCTCAAGGAGGACATATCTGGGAGGGAAAAAACATATGAGTGACCTTTTCCTTATGGAACAAGTGCTGATTGGCATGTCTTTAACTTACAGTATCTGGGAATGGTAATGCTCTTCTTCTCTGCTATTCCACTTTCAAACTTATACACACAGGTCAGTTCCTGTCCCTCATGAAGAGCCAGAGGAAACCTATAAATCAGCCTGGCATTCATTATGTGTCCCTCATATTCAGTGTGCAGGGAGGTTTCACCCCTGGCATTTTGAGGAAGGACCCAGGCAAGGTTTGTTCCAACACCCTCCCCCCTGCAGTCACACACTGCCAGCCAGATAGGGGAGTCTTGCTGTCTCGCCACAGACACACTCAGCCAGGGGGCTTCTGAAAAAGAAAAGTAGGGTTGCGGGATGGGGGTAAGAGGATGTGTGCAAGACTCAAAGAAAGAGATGTTTCTAAGAAAGACTTAACATACTGTGCGCTGGAATGTGAATTGTTCTCGTTTCTGGTGTCTTCAGACTTGGGTGCTTCACCATACAAGTCAAATTCTGACCGGCATACAGAGAGGACAGGAAGTGCACGGAGTTCCAGCTCAAAACCAAACCCTCAGCCTGCACTTCAGCTTCCATGAGAGAACCGATGCTCTCATTTCCAGCATGCCAGCTTATGTCTGCAGCCGAGGACACACTGACAGCAGAGCAGAGCACCTTTGTGTGCTTCTGACCATCTTTCCACTCAGAACTGGCACTGAGGGTGATATTGGGAGGAGCTGCATGAGGAGGAACGGGAAATGAGGAATTTCATTTGAGTGAAAAATCTATGGGGCATGTGAATGGCTAACCATGTCCTCCTCAACTGAAACAAATTCATCCAGCGACTGGTTTATAACACATACCGCAAATAGGGAATGTTATGCTTCTGTTCACTGCTTCCTCAAACGCCGGGTGATTTATCACACACACTGCAGTCAACTCCCATTGCGAGCAGGCAGGGAGGAGTAAAACTCCCCTGACAGAGTGGCTTCCATTGTGAGTGGTGGAACTGAACCAAAAGTCTGCAGAAACACCCTCCGGCTGAAGCCAGGACACGTTGGCTGCCGGAACAGCGTCGGCCGCTGCACACTCAATCACCCGCCGTCCGTCCTCACGCCGCAAATCAAGCCGGATTCTGGGAGGAACTGAGAGGAAGGTTGCACGTCAGAGTTTACGGTAAAAGGACGAAGAAAATCCTGCATACTTCTGTCCCCGCAAATAGTTTAGCCTACCCAGCCGTTGAGCGGGAGGTCTGACGGTGACATTTAGCTGCACCCATGTTCTCAGGTGCTGATAAGAGATATCACACACATACAGGCCAGCATGATGAAGCTCCACAGGACCCCCAAATGTGAGGCTTTCACCAACAAGCGCCACATCCTCAGGCAGCGCTCCATCATCCCTGCAGGACACATACACGTGTTTTTATCACAGTATTTCTCTCATGTGAAAATAACCTATTATTATATTGTGCCAATCCTAAAGTTTCACGTGATTTTGTAAGACCTTCTGCATCCTGAGTTTGTTTTGGACCTTCTCGCACACACCTTCTGCTGAATTTTTCTCACGGTATCAAAAACGTTCATCTTAAAGCTTATCTTATCTAAAGAGGTCCTTTAGTAATGTGTTTGTCCAAGTATGTTAAAGTTCAATTAATGAATGAGTGTAGTCAGATTTTTTTTAAATAGATCATCATAGTTAGGTACATCATAGGTACATCTTTTTAAACATTAAATCACCTGAGAACAAATGTTTAAATATGGTTGCTGCTGTCTGTCACTTGTGGTTTTCCGACACCAAATGTGTCACCACATCCTCCACAGGATGTGGAAGACGTTTCAATTTGCGTGCGCACGAGAAGGGAAAAAAAAGAGAGAAAATTAATGTTTTTGCTCTTATCTAATTTTCTTTTTTCTTTTGAAAAAAAGACACAGTAAACAAGACCAGAGTGCTGAAGTTACCAGGTACTGGTACAATCGACTAAGGCTATGAAAAAAAGTAGAAGTAAAGATGCTGCAAAAAAAAATTCTCAGCATGGTGATGTAATCAAATTGCATGAAAACAGCCTCCTGGATGTGAACAAACTTCAAGGAAAGTCAGAAGTCTGACTTATAGCAACTCCATACACCATGATGTGTCTCAGTAACATGGTGACATGGCCCTCCCCGCTCAACACGACACATTTCCTAAAAGCCACCATTAACAAAGCCTCAAGGTTATCATGGTTTTGCTCAGCCCCCCTCTCTGTGTCATGTTGAATTGATCAAGTTCTCCTTTATCACCTCATTTCTCTTACTTTTTGCAGATAGTGTTGTAGCGGGGCACATTCCCTGCGACCTCGATGCGTCTCACTACATCCCTCTCTCCTTCCTGCAGCTCTAAAAACTCAGTTTCCCGAAAGTCGTCATTCTCGCTTCCCATCTCAGAGTGAAGCTGGGCTCCCATCAAGTCTGCAAGTGTGAGAGGACATTTCAGTTTTCAGCTACTTTCAGGTCTCACTCATTATGGGTTTTCACAGATCTTAGAATTACTCACAAAATGTTGGCAGTGTTATGAGTCTTGACTCGGTGTGTGTGAATTTCGGGTGATTAAACATGCAGGTGATGATGTGACCCTCATACTCTGCCACGGGGAGACGCACCGACAGTGTCTGCGCGTCGGAGTCTTTGTCATATTCTCTCTGCAGCTCCTCACTCACGTTTAAAGCCAAAGAGATGTCAGTGTCTGGTCTCCCTCCGGATGAAATGCAAGAGACCACCCAGGAATCATTTCCTCCTTGTTGTACCACCTCTGCTTTAATGGTCACGTTTGGCCTCGCTGAGGAGCAGGAAGAAAGGCAAGGAAGAGTTATTCATCCTCAAGCTCCTAATGTTTTTTCCAGCAAATTAAAAAGTCAGATAGCAATAGAGGCTCAGGGTGTTTTTGTTGAATAGGAAGCTGGGGCCGGATGAGCTGGATGTTAGCTAACCATGGGCCAAAAGGGACTTCTGCTTGGGTTTTGGAGAGTGCTGACTTAGGCTTATCACCTGCCCCATCTGTTGGCTGAGCTGCAGCTGAGAGCAGATGTCTGGACCAGCTGCTGTCCAGCCAAAGCTGGAAGAACCACAGGCTTTAATACCAGGAATCAGCAGAGATCAGAGTCTGTTATCAAATACATAAAAGTTATGGTGTCATGCAATAGCTCAGCGCCCCTAATGAGTAAAAGAGGTGAGGAAACACTTCATAATAGCTTGGGTTGCTGGGGGGATTAACATACCTTGGCTCGAAAATTCCCTTCTATTAACATCTAAGGCTATGTGAGCAGTTAGAAAATGACTTCAGTGGAGCATAAATATATGGTGGACGAATGAGTTCTGGCTCATGCTAATTAGAATGTTACCACACAGGTCTCCAAACAAACTTTTACCCTAGTTGTGCAGGTATCTGGACATTCCACAATAAAAAAGTGACCAAAGGACCATTTAAAAAACACAGTAAGATTTAAGATTCCAATGCTGTTTTTCAGTTTCACGGTGAGCTGGTAGTCTGTAATTCATAATGCTGTCGATACCATTTAGTGTTGGCCGAACACGCTGCCTGAGAAAAAGTGAGAAAAAGACATAAAACAACTTACTTGTCCCAGTGCACATACATGGTAAAATAAAGCCTTAAGGCCGTACACAACAGATCAACTCTGTTTTCAAAAAACGTGGCCATCAGTGGCCAGGACTGGTCAGGATGTCTTATAAAACTGCTCACTAATTCATCATCCATGATTATTCCATCAGTGGTCAGAGGGGGTGTGTTTGCCTGTTGTTCGGACACCTTTTTTCATCGTAAACACGGCAGCGTTGTGAATTGTGCATTGCTTGGGCATGTGCTTCTAAATTGAATGACATCGAGCTGGGATGCTACCTTCATGTGCAAGCTGTCACGATCTGTCATCTGTTAACGTGAGAGCCAAAATAGGAATCACAATCAGATGCACAAGCAGTGCAGTGGCTGTGACCCAAGCCATATAAGAAGTTGGAGCTCTGCCAACAGAGGAGGTTTCTCCTTGATCAGTTTAGCACTGGCATTGTCTTATTTTAAACCACTGCAAAGATAGATCTAAAAGAAAAAAAGGATTTGTCATGCGATAAATGATAGGAATAAAAGAAAGATTGAGCCAAGAGCTAATGTCCACCAGGGTATGCCAATGTCCTCATGTTGGAAAGTGGGTAAAAATCTACTCCCCTCCCATCAAATAATATCATAACTGCTTGAGGGGAGACCATGCATGTTTCAAAGTATTATGGGCACAAATAAGATAAGATAGACATAATTTCCTATACAATACCAGGGCTGGAAACTGACTATTTGCCTGTTCCTACTTCATGTCATGTGAATGTTGCATTAACCCAAGCTTCCAGCCTTGATTTGTGGTGTGTAAAAAGTGTCAAAAAGGTCTCTTCTTGTGTGATAAGGAAGGTTAGTTGATTATATGCAGCTATTTGTACTTTGCGATGTGCAAAATGGGCTTAAACATGTTTTTTCACGGTGTCACTGGGTGTGCATTTCTGGTCCACCCTCTGGCCGGATGCAGCCACCCAAACTGTGCACTGCACCAAATCATCTTTACTTTCGAGTTACTCTGTTAGTTCTGCTCTTTTGCCCCCTCTGCTCGACTTCAGTGGAAACGCCGCGCTCCCACGTGAGCGCGCCGCACTGTGCATTGTGATTTATGGTCTGTCAGTGTGTATGTGGAGCAGAGTGAGAAGGAGCGAAGGGGGGAAAGTTAAAGTGTTGTAAGATGCTGAGTCATGAGGCCTGATTGCAAAGCTCTCGCTGGCAACGCAACCCTTCCCCCCCCCCCGCCGGGTGACAGAAGAACAGACGCAGCAACGGGGATGCAGCTCACCGTAAGTCTCCACCCTCACCGCCGAGAGTTTGGGGTTTGGGAGGGTGGGGTGTTTGACCACACAGGCCGCGGTGTCCTCGTCCTGCTGCTGGGTGGGAAACCTGAGGACGCTGGTGAGGGTAGAGGTGCCGTCGGAGTGAAGAGTTTCGTTTACGTCCACGGTGAACGGGGGGTCCGAAGGTGGATGGCGGCCTATCAGCCAGCTGATGTGAGGCGCCGGCCTGCCCCCCCCGGCAGAGCACGTGACATATTGGTAGTGAGTGCCATTCAAAGTCTCTGCGTTTATCTGGACCTGTATCTCCGGCCGAGCTGGAGATGAATGCATGAAATGAATAAAGCACTGGTCAAAGTGGAATCAGTTCAATCTGAGGTAATCGTATCCAGTGATGGAAATCAAAAAGCAACGTATTTAACATTGACTTACCTACTACAGTGACAAACACAGTGTCCAAAAAGATCTCATCCTCAGATTCAAACTGGCAAAAATATTCTCCCTCCGCCTCCACGCTGGACACCCTCATCCGAGTGGTGAGGTTGGTGGGAGACTCTGGGATTGAGAAGTCGCGCTGGTGAAAGAATTTTCCATTGGAAAACCCTGCCAGTCGTCTGAATTTGTTTTTGGAGTTAATCTGGCGTCTCCACTCTGAAGCCGTGATCTCGCTGTCCCCCAGATAGCTGCAGCTCAGGTGCACGTCCTCCCCCAGGACCGCCGTGATATTGTGAGAGATCACAGAAATGGGCTCTGCACCCGAACCTGAAACACAGAGAAGGCAGGCAGCGCTCAGTAAGAACGAGAGGTCAGAAGTTCCTCTGAGAGTCTCAGAGTCGAAACGCCAGCAAAGGTCGAGTTGGTCTTGTTCCAGACCCCCACAGAGTGATAGATGTCTACTTTTATGTCTGTGAAAGTTTCAAACGTCTTATTGTCTTTCAATAATAGTGAAACTATGATGAATGAGGCCAACTAACTTCCACAAAAGCCCATGATTTTCTCATGGGTAGAAGTTTCAAATGATTAATCTTAAACTCGAGATGACTCGTGCTAAACGGGAAACTTTTACCAGTTGAAAGGAAATGTTTGGCCTTTCAACTTATTCACAGTATTGGCAAGCCCATGCAGAGACGTTAACACAAATGAGCAGCAATTTGAAAGGTGTTTGGACGTAAACACGTTCATTTCAGAAATGAAAGAGCCAGTAATAGTTTTTTTGTTTCTGTTACAAACTACTTTAAAATATCATGGTACAACACAACAGACTGAGTGAGTAGGACTGCTCAAACATGTACATATGATTGCTAAATGTATGATGGCAAAATGGTTGACTCAGTGTGTTGAAACATATTTGTGAATATCAAATAGCATTTCTGCTGATATGCTTTCCTAAAAGTCATATTCCACTTTGTATTTCAGTCCAAATTTATGTAGGAAAAAAAAAAATCAAAGAGCCGAGCACGCCCTCAGAATCCCCAAAGTGGTTTGGGTTCATCATCCAGTCACAATGTGGGAGGTGGATTTGGAGCCTAAACCTCAAAAAGCTCATTTGTCAGCAAGTTAAAGTCTTGCTGTGACCTACTGCTGGCTCATCCGTCTCCACACAAATCCTGCCATCCACACTGAAGCGGCAGGCTAGGGAAGGTCCCACTCCACCTTCAAAACAAGTCACGAAAAGACTCGAGATACTCAAGGACTGGAATTGAAACTGAGCTGTCGTTTCACTCAGAAACCAACACTCCCTGTTCAAAGGTTCCCAAAGTTCATTCAAGTACCACTCCTCTCAGCCTCGAGAGCAACAAGTTTTGCCTGCAAATAAAATCATTTCCTGCATGGCTAGTTATTAGCAACAGCACCTGTCTGAGGTATTCACACAGTGAAATGATACATATCTGATGTCAGTTGTTCATCTTTTAACCTGGTGACTGAGTTGATGAAGCAAATCCGTAAATCCATACAAACTTTTCCATCCCGGGATCACGTCAGGTAGAACTAAACTAGTGCTCCAATGCATGTCCCCCCAATTCCCCCCAATTCAGCAAAAGAGGCTGAAAACAAACCAAAACAAACAGTGTCCTCATCAAAAGGGCTAAACAGTGACATCCAGTGAGATAGACCCAGTCTTCTCTGTGTTTTTAACCCCAGGACAACATTTTGTTGCAAACAGAGGCCCCTTTCCTTTGCACACTACAGAAAAGGCCCCAGTCCAGGAGCAGTTTTAGGGGAAAGGGCACTGAATGAACACTGACAGTTTTTGCCCTTTTGCAGATGCAGTATGCAGTCCTCTCTGCAGAGCAAACCAAATCTCCCTTACTCTGCTTCCCATGCTGACTTCATCAAAGTGCAGCTGAGGACACAGTTTATTTTATCAGCCACTTGCAAGCTGAGGACTTCTTTTCGGCTTTATGTACATGATGAGTATAATGATGACAACTTGCTGCTGCACAGTCATTGGAAACCAAAGAACACAGAGTGCAGCTGCTGCAGGCTAAACTAAACTGTTTGCATCCAGCACTGTTAAAGCTGAAAACGCAAGGCTCTCTCTATACATCACGGCAAATGGAAACAATGTGGAGGGCCTCCAAAACCCTTCTAAGAGGAGAGAAATAAATATTCTGTATCACTTCAATTATGCCTACTGGGTCCATAAGTCATATGCCCTTGCAGGCTATTGCCAAAATAAATGTCAGCCAAGAATGGGAACGGAATGCCTTAAGGATACAAACTGAGCAATAAATGAGGGGGAAAAAAGCATGCGTTCATCCAGTGCATCATATTTCCTGAACCCAAGGGGCTTCTTTTTCACACCAAATAACAACGCTGCAGCAGGGACACACAGCAAGTCCTCCATCTGCAGACTGGGGATGTGGTAAACAAATAAGACTTTCAACCCGAGGAGACCCAGCTATTCTCAAGTTCAAACTTTAATCTCAGAAACACAGACTATAAACAAAAAGGTTCTCTAAATAAATGCAGCCTGTCAAGGGGTTTTCCCTCTTACACAGAGTAAAAAAAAAATCTTAATGACCCTCATATATTAGTTTTAAAAGGCTGTAAATAAATAGGAATAATAGGAATAATCAATAGGAATAAACTGCCCACCAGGGCAATGCAAACATGCCACTGATAATGTGCTGCAGAAATAGGTATGTAGAGTTAATCCTTTGGCTTTATTGCCCGTGTGCATTGGTAATTTGACTAATCAGTTAGGAAAAGTAAAGCAGCACTGAGGAGAGTCAATGCCACGGGGTAAATAAGACCTTCAGGTCCAGTAAAGCAAGCTCATAAACTGCTGACAGACACAGAAGGGATATAACCCCGAGGACTTACCCTGGATTCCCAGGCAATGAGAAACTTTTAGGACAAGACCCAAAACCAACAGCCATGAACATCCCATGATGGTGTCATTTAGTGACACTCAGCTGGATGCATCAAATGTGCCTAAGGCACAGGGGTATTTAAAGTGTGTGTGTGTTTGTGTGTGTGCTTTCTGTGGTTCATGGTTATAGGTGCACACCCTCTACAGCTGACGCTGATGTGCGTGCATGTCCCTGCCACTCATACACCCACATACTGTACGTGCACATGACCACACACACACACACACACGCACACACGCACACACTTCTCTGTGTGAAATACCACTTCTCCCTTTTTCTCGCTTAAGCATTTATTTGCAGCTTTTGCGTGCCTCTTGGAGTTTTCACTTCTCAGATACCAAGAGTGTATTTTTTTTTTCTCCATGTGCAGAATGTGTCTGTTCAGTTTGTCAGACGCCTGGGAAGTGGTAAAACCATGCATCATTCATGCCATCCCGTCCCAGTGGGGCCTCAGAGACCGCCTGTCTGACGACGTGCTAAAGCTCATGCCCCTCACTTTGGGAAACCACTCGCTGCCGGTCATTATTTTATGGGATAATTATCCTGTAATTCACTCTGAGGTTGTTGTTGTTTTGTCTTTAAACTGAGCAGTTTGTCATTCAGTGAGAAAAAGTGCAAACAAATAAACGTGAATGAGGAAGGCAGATCTGTTTAGAGGTGACTCAGCAGTTTGCTGTCTTAATATTTAGCCATTTTTAAATTTTTGCTGATCGACTTCAGCGTTGAGTCATTTAAACCACACGGGGGGTGACAGTGAATGAAATAACCAGGTAGAAAACGCTGCCAGAGCCTTTTCAGAGTGCGGTTAGTAACGACCCTTTGAATGATCTGTTGTGAAACTGGCATGCATGGTGAGAACGTCCGTAGTTTGCGAGTGTGCGTTTTACAACTAAGAAAACACCATCGCATCTTCTCTGAGTCTGCACACATGTACACACAGCGGTGCCATTTCCTGGTGACTTAAAAACTTTATTTTAACCCCAATAAAGTTTCCATCCTAACAAAATACTGATTTGCATAATGGGAGCTTGAATTGAACAAAAAATAATAATAATAATAATAACTGAATATCATTGAATGTTTTAAACTACAAAATGTAAGCTATTTTACTGCAAGCTGAGAAATCAACATTCAAGTTCAGAACTAGGAGTACTGAAGGAAAAACTAGAGATATGACAGCCCGTCGCATCTCTTCTTGGACGAAAATGAATCCAAAAACCCTTAAAAGTTGTTAATCTCATACATTTTTCACACTACACCTTTGGCTTATGCAATGGGTGTATGATTGATAGTATGATTTTTAAAGTGTCTTACAATTTATGTTAAGCCTCTCATGAGTCATGAAGGATGAGGATATTGTGTTACAGCATGTCATATATCATACAAATCATACAAATCAACTTCTGAGCCACACAAATAGACGAGGGAGCTTTTGTCAGCAGCCTGTGAGCAACATCAAAGCTCTTAATGCTTCCAGGCTTGCTCTCTGACTTGACTCTTACTGCGGATGATCACATCTCCAGGAGGTAAGGCAGTTCAGTCTAGTACCAAAAAGGCATGCAACTCTTGGTTTGGAGGGCAAACTCCCGGCCCAGACATGTACATGGAGGCCATTTTCTTAAGCTAATTGAGTGATTTGACGCGGTTATTCCCAATAGGTGGCCAGAGGTTGAGAAGAAAGCTCAGAGACAAGGTCTGGAAACCTTAAGTTTTCTCCGGATGTGTCACTAGCTGTCGGATAGCTAATTTATTTGACTCACAACGACAAATTTTCATTTTTTTTTCCAGACAAGGTATTTCCAATCTCTGCAGAAGAACAACTCCTTTCCTTTTTGCATAGCTGCCTTTCTCTTTATCGCTTTCACTGCGGATGCACATCTGGAAAATACAGCAGGAAAAAGGTGGTTGGTTGTTAGCCAGTAATAACGCATGTGCAGCCAAGCACCAGCAGACCGGCAGGCCGCATGCTAACCTATTCAACTGAAGCTTATCATCGCTTTATTCTACAGGAGGAAAAAACATGATCATCAGCCCCATCTCTGCCTGATGCCGGTCAGTTTAAGCTGAACTATCATCAAACCACACACACTTTTGCACACAGAAATGTAATTGAATAGATAGCAGACTGACACAAAAACTTGATTGATATGACTCTATCAATCCGAGTCGCATACCAGTTTTTGGCCTGTGACACTGCAGGCAATCACGTACAAAGAAGAAACAGAAATCTGGACGTCTGTGCTCACAGCAGGCAGAGTCCTCTGTAATCTCCACAGAAGGCTATCGCCATGTGAACATGCCAACAATTCCCCCGACTGAAAAGGTCACATCGGTTTATTGTTTTAACCCTTCTAAAAACAGCTTCCTGCAAAAGAACCGTCCCCGAGTGGAAGAAGGGAAATAAGACGCATTGTGTTTTACATATCAGGTTAGACATCAGTCTCCTGTCTTTCATTCAAAAAGCCACAAGGTTTTGCACTTTACTCTCAGTCATCTGACTCTGTTACTTTCATCGATAGCATCATTTGGTTAGAACCAGGGCATGCAGGCAGAATAAGGTCAGAACAGTTGTCTGACTTGGTATCAACTACATTTGCACACTGAGGTTTTTGACAGTCCCTCTATCAGATTGTTCCCATGTTTCTGCATGGGTTAACGGCTTTGTTCTTTAGATGTCTGACTGCTCAGGGCCCTGAGCAACAGAGTGATTAGTTCTTACAAACCAGAAAAACAGATCGCAGAGTTTTAGTTCAGCAGCTGCTGCAAACGCCTGAAACAATCTGCGCTGAACTGTGCACTCTTCTGCTTTTTGATTGTTTATTTAACCTGTGCAACAAGTTTGTTGTCCCCTTTTGTGTGGTTTAAAACTTCGATTGCCATCAACTGACGCCAACTCCCTTATATGGACTAGTGATGTGGGGGGAACACCCTTGTTTTGACAAAGTTCTAAATACAAAAAGAAAATGGCCACATACACATAACCACAATAACACACCTAGAATGGAGAGAGCACCATTTCTTGGCCTCCGGTCATTTAAACGTCAAATAGGAACACTCGTATTCATCCGCAAAACTTCCTGACTTGTTTTCAACAGGACATAATGGTTACCGGTGCATTTATCAGCACCAATAAAATGTTATGGATCCATAATGAATCATGGCGGTCTCATGAATGTTTATGTCTTGTCGTCCAGCCTTTTAAAATCACATTACTGCCTCTCTTCAGTGGAGAGGATATGGAAATGCCTCCATACCAGCTACATACGAAGCCACTCTTGATGAGTCAGTTTCCTCAGTTGTGTATCTGCATCGTAAGGTGACTAATTTAGAAACAGCCGTTATACCACCTCACAAGTGACAGGAATCGATATGACAGATCATGCTGCACTTTTTAGAATGAGAATTGCATTTTTTTCAAATGTATTTATTCTTTGATTTGCTCCGATTCATAACTTCTCTGATAAATCTAATCTTCCTCCAGAGTGCTGCAGTGGTTGAGCGAGAGAGAGAGAGAGAGAGAGGGGAACTCATTCAGTGCCTAATGGTTATTTAGTTGGTGGAAATGACTCAAACAGTGATCCGGCAGTTCTGTGGATGATGCATCTAATGTTCAGGTCATGAGCCATTTATGTGTTTCAACAGTTGGGGCTGGACCGTTGAGTGCTTAATGGTTATTTAGTAGATGGAAATTACTTAAACACACTCAAGTAGAGTGGAGAGGCCTGTTTGGTCATTACAGTAAGTAGTAGATGGAGTGAGAAAGAGAGCTGGAGATGCCACTGCTTTGAAATACATTTCAGGGAAGTATCTCTCTTTGTTTTTCTGGCAAATATCTAAAGAAAACCAGTGAGTCTGCCAGCTCTGGAGGCTCATATGTTGACATGAGGAGAGGGTGGGGGGGGGAGGAGGGGGGACGTTAGTCTCATTCCAGGGGCGCAAATGCTAACTGGCAGAGCATCAAGCGAGAATGTAAGTGAAATGGGCAGCAGATGGTTCTGGTTCATGCACTGGTTGTTTGGGACGTGCTGAGCATGGCTGGGCCCGTGGAACCCTGCAAACCTGGCCCTCTGCCCAGCTCCCTCCACCACAGGACGACCAGCAGGCAGCCAGCGTCCACCAATACGGCCCGCACAGCGCCGGTCAGAGCAGAAATCAACCGCCGATGCTCAGAGACCCTCAATAAAGCCGTCAGAAAGCCCAAGAGTAAAATGCAAGTGTAACACAGTCGTATCTAATCTCTCGCGTTGAGCTTGTTTTGAAATCCAAAACCACAAAGCAGTTGTTGATGCCGAAGCAGGGGGGACACACCTCACCAACCACTTCCAGAAATAGCCGCGGCGGTCAGATCGGATTGCAGCCTTTTACCGACTTGAAAGTCAGATTCAAAGAGTTTTATATCCGACTTTACTTTGATTTCCAGAGTGAAAGCGTGAAGTTTACGTGCAGAAGTGAATCATCATGCATTCACTGTTTCCCAAAACTGAAGCCTGATAGTGTATCAGTCTACAGTTCATACACAGATCCAGTGTTTCAGATTTAAATAAAAACACTTGCATCCCATCCCATTTTTCCTTGTTGTTCTCTCTTCCTCATATTTTACACAGAATTCTACTTATATGCTAATATATGAGTTGAGTGAATTAGCTCATTTCAACAGCCTTACACATGAAAATAACTGCCATTTTAGCGTCTTTGCACCGTGTTTGGGTTTACAGTTTACTTGATTCCAACTTATCTTGGCTTTGTTTTTCGCAACTGCAGGAGAGCTGTCTGCAATGCAAACCATGCGCTCAGCACCACACAGCAGACAGACTCTATTAGCAGGGAGGTGGTGAACACAGTGCAGAAACTAAAGAGTCAGACTGGTCCCTCGGGAGTTGAGAGGGGCTAGAACAGATCAGAGGGGAAGTGAGTATTGGAAACATGTCCACAAAACGAATGCAAATGTTGCTTCGCTGAATGTGTAAGTAAGCAACTGATTGCAACACAGAAAAGTGAGGATTGGTTATGGTCGAAAGGAGGAAAGTCTGAATCACTATCGA